ACTCAGTTTTGATCAACACATCACTTCTATCCATAAATGATCCTAGAAATGACTTCAGTCTCCTGCTGAAGGCATTCATAGTGTTGCACTCAGTTGTACATACCAAACTTGATGCAAGTAGTTGTGTAAAGAGAATAAAAAAGAGAGCTTGCAACTTCAATACCCACAATAATTCCTCTCACCTCCACACACATGTGGCCAATCACTGTGGGCCGTGATTTGCTGGATTGTACATTTCAGAAAGTGACAAAAATTGTTGGACGCAGCTGCCTCCAATGTCAGAAAGGATTGGGATAAGGGGGATTCAGACACTGTTTGACCATCAGAGGAGAATTTTATTTCAATTCAGTGAGTGAAGGAACATCAGTAGCAATTTCCTCCATGAAAAGATAGGAGCAAATGTCAAAGGTCTCACTTTCTGTTATGTCAGCCCTCCCCGGTTTGACAAAGGTCTTTAAAGGGTCTGTCTTTCTCCCCCATTCACCTCATCAACCACCCCCTACTTTCTGACTACCCCGACAGACACCTCAGAACCACCTGACATTTTACAGAATGTAAGAGGGGCTTAACAATGTCAAACTGTGTTGCTCATATTCCTGTTTCATATGTAAAGAGTCTAGAGTACCAGAGCTTTCGGTCATCATGATCCCTGGTTTACCTTTGACAGTCTGTGTTGGTGTTGTAGGTATTGCTGCTGGTCACTGACTCAAAAACACACACACAACAAACAAACTGCCCCAAATTGCTCCTATGGCTTAATGTAATTCTTGTGTTTTCTCATTTAATGTACAGGACAAAATGCAAAATGATGATGAAAAATAAATCTTATCATTAGGTGCATGAGTTACAATAAGTACTAAAGGTTAGGGGGACATCATGGTTTGGGTTTAAATTATGGGTAAAAGAAACTGATGTTGATGAACTGTCTGCTGGAATCATGGAACAAAGAGCGGTGTCCCGTGTTTAAGTTCACTGTTTGGTTGACTCATCCATTCACCCCGGCCTCCTTCCTGTGTTGACTTTGTCACCATACTCTCGTCATAATTACTACTGCCACTAGAGAGCTTTGTCATTTGATAAAATGAGTAATTATGTTAGGACAGTCTCTTAATGAAGTCTAATTATGGCCAAAGATCAATTATATACAGATTAAGGATGTCCGATAATATCGGAGGGCCGATATTATCGGACTATATTCACTAAATATATAAATATTCACTAAAAAATTTAATAAAAGGAATTATCGGTATCGGGTTTTTTATAACCGATGTTTGTTCTGTAGGCTTCAGCATTTCCGAGCCTGCATGAACGCAGCATGGGACGTTTACCGGCGCGCACTAAACATCATTTAGGCCTCCTAATCTTTATCTGTGATGCGCCCACTGGATGGCAAGATAAATGCAACATTGCTTTCAAAATGCTAAACCACGTTCTGGGTGCAAATAAACTGAGGACAACTCACGACTTTTCATTGTGTTAATACTGAAAGGGGAGCGCTATAGCATAAACCTAGCCTACGCGCTAATCGCTAGCACGCGCTAACCGCTAGCTAAGCGCTTAGTTTTGGCGGTTTGATTGTGTTTAATTGCTATTTATGCACCTGCAAGGGAGTGTTAATGGTAAATTCTAAGGCCAATTGTTAGTTTTGGGGGTTAAGCGAACAGCTTCATAGCAGGGGAAAATATTTTAAGCGGTGCATTGCACTTATTTTGTGTTATATTAAAATCATTCAGCTTTAAAGGTGTTTGGCTTGTTAGCCCGGTAACCGAAGTCTAGTTGTAGTTGTTGTTGTTACACGTCAAATAGCCGCACGCCGGC